GGAGGGTCTCCCAAGGACCAGAATTGCTCAGAATCAAGCTACAATGTGCTTCTAGCCTTCTGACAGAGCATCCCTAAAGGGTGCCCAGCCGACATGGATACAGTCCTCTGGTTATTTTCAGCACATCGTATCTCTGGAGCCAGACTTTGGAAGGCAAACTGGCGGAAGAGGCAAAGTTGCAAATCAGAATTCCTGCCAGAGAGAACAGTGGAGCCAGCTCATGAGGTCTTTTGCCTGGGACTGGCCAACCTTGCCAAGCACAGACCAGAGTCAGTTCCAGATCCTTCAGCAGGAAGCAAAGCTTGCCCTCCTGCTGTTCTTAGTCCAGAAAATTCTGGTTTATTTCCTTCCTGGTCGTAATGGGAAGAAATCACATCCAGCTGTCTTAGGCTGGGTTCTCTAGAGAAGCAAAACCAGGGAAGCTTAGAGAGAGAGAAAGAGGGAGATTTCTCTCCAGGAAAGGTTCACATGGTTGTAGAGTCTAGCAAGTCCTGAGACTGTGGATCAGATGTCAGGCTGGAGGCTTCTCCTGACTCACATAGCTGCAGGAACTGATGAACCCAAGATCAGCAGGTCAGACAGCAAGGTACTGGCTCACAGGCTGTGGACACTAGCGAATCCCAAGATCGGCAGGCAATACGGCAAGCCGCTGACTCAAGTCCCCAGAACTGGAGGTCAGCTGATGAGGGCCAGATGTAGGATCCAGAGAGAGAGCAAAAAGCTAGCGCTTTGCCAGGATGTCCCTATCTATTGGATACAGGCCACACCCCCAAGGAAAATCCCTTTCAACTCACTGCTCATACCAGATCTCATCGTGGACATGATTATATTATATCAGATTTCATCATGGGGGGTTGGCTACATCATAATTGCCAAATCATAGCCTAGCCAAGTTGACACACAACCTTAACCATCACATAGCCTTAATTGATCCTTTGAGGGATTATATTCAGGTCTTTGTTGACGCCAATGACTCCACATCCAGACACACACAGAGGCAGATACAGACACATGTGCACATACTTTGGCCGGTGATCCTCGTCTTCGTGAAGCCCAAGGCAGGCCTTTTACCCACCCAGGAGCATGGAACATGTAGGCTCATTGCCCCTCTGTGTTATTAGGAGCATTTCCATGTTGTTGTTATGTGCCGTCAAGTCAGCCCCGACTCATAGCGACCCCTCCTTGGGTTTCCGAGGCAGTATCACTACAGAAGTAGGATTGCCCACCGCTCATTTTTAAAGAATTGCCCCAGTCTGGCTGTTGGGAAACAAGAGCCTTGGGCCCACTTTGGCCCCCAAGAAGCTGCTGTTGGCACAGCCCCTCTGGGTTTCTCTTTTCTTAACTGTGAAGAGGACCCCTGTGATCACTAATAGTTCTAACATCCTTTTTTTTTTTTTTTAAACATTTACCTGCAAATTGAGCAGGCTGAAGCCACCTGAGTGCAGAATTGCTGAGTATTTTACTTTCATCCTGGAGGCAGGCAAAAAGAATAATTGCAACAAGTGCCTCTAAAAATTCATGACTCCAACTCCTTGCCTGAGTGGAAAGGCTTTTTCTGTCTGTGCACCTCCAGGAGCTAGTTAGTATCTTATTGCTGGTAAAGGTGGTAGAGGAAATGTTGGCCTCCTGCGTACTCTAGGGGTCCCTGTTTGCTTCATCCAGTTAAAATGTGACGTTGGGGGAAAATTAGCTATGTGACCTACTTGTGTCTTTTTATGTGAGAAGCAAAACCTGCCAAGGTGCGTTCTGCACTGTCACGCTCGTTACGGATTTCCCCAGTCTGCCTTTGGGTTCTCAGTGTCCTGTCTTCCTGTTGAATTGAAATAAAGTATCACTGCAGCCCGTGTACAATTCTTTATTAATCATTTGCAACGTCTCTAGAGCTAGATGGAAGCCAGGCCCTGATGCTTGTTCAGAATGACCTTTTTTCCAGTTGCCATGGAGTCCACTCTGACTCCTGGAGACCCCATGTGGGTCAGAGTAGAACTGTGCTCCATAGGGTTTTCAGTGGCTGCTATTTCTGACATTGATCACGTTCTACTGAGATGCCTCTGATGGACTCGAACCTCAAACCTTTCAGTTAGCAGCTGAGCATGTTAACCAGTTGTACTACCCAGGGGGAGCTTAGAATTACCATAGAAAACATTTGAAACTGTGGCATCATCTCTCATCTGAGGAGGCATGAAGGCTGTGAAGGTGGATCAGATCTGAGAAAGTCAAGTCATCAAGGGGGAAAAGGAAAAGGAAAATAAGTAAACCCACTCAGTTAACAAGCAAAGCAGGCACCTGGCCAGCTTTAGTCAGGTGTGGTAGAGGCAGCATAGAACAGCTCCCGAACTGTCCCTTTCTTTCCAAACTCTGTTCCAGCTGCCTCTGCACCTGCCAGGGCTCTGAGCAGAAACACACTGCTGCCGCTCACTCCTCCTTCCCTGCCTCCTCTCGCTGGCTGGGACCACACCTTTCACACACTCTCTGGTAATGCGGGACGTTTCCTGTCCTCTTTCTCTGCCTCTCTGCTCTGCCCTGTCACAGTTCATGTGTCTGTTCCATGCCAAATATGACACAACAGCGATTTTTTTTTTTACTTTGCTAGAACCGAAATCTTGGAAAATATGACGACTTATGATTTTTTTTGGGGGGGGGGAAGCTGTGGTTTGAGACCAGGTCTCTGGGGCTATGGCCTCAGCTAGAAGAGGCACATGTGCAGTTGGTTATAAAAATGCTCTAATGAGCCAGGAGTGAGGAGGCCCTCCAGGAGCAGGCGTTGGTGGGACCTGGCTGGGAGGTGTTGGCAGTTTCATGAATAAGCATTTACTCTGGTCCTGAGGTAAAGGAGGGAGCTCTGGTGGCATAGTGCCTAAGGCATTTGACTGCTAATCAGAAGGCCAGAGGTTTAAACCCACCAGCCACTCCTTGGAAGGTTGGCCAATCTTCTTCCATAATAATACTGCCTCAGAAACCCAAGGAGGGCTCACTGTGAGTCAGTGGGACTCCACAGCAGTGCATTTGGTTTTTTTTTTTTTTTTTTTTTTTGAAGGGAAGGGAAGGTTCATTGGCAGAGGTTCAAGGACAACTTCATCAGGTAAACAGTCTGTCCTCAGGTGGAGGCAGGGACAGAGAAGAGAGGGAAGAAAAGAAAGCCGTGGGGGTGGGGAGCTGGAAGAGACTGCCCAGAGGGGAGAGAGGAGTCTGAGATGAGGGAGCCAGAAAGGCCAGGGCCTCGGCACAGCTTCCTTCCTTTTCTCTCTGAAGATTGTTTGTCTGTCCTCATACAGGCGAGACCGGAAATACTAAGAAGGGCACACCCCCACACTCAGACCCCCACAGATCATCACTCTAAATGGATTGCTTTCCAGTGTCCTGCTCTTTCCATATATTTTGTGACATAGTTGAACTCATACTGTAGCTGCAATTTGATAGCTGGTTATTTTTTATTCTTAACTTTAACACAACACAGACAGTTCTGTGTTTTCTAAACCCTGTGGGAGTGGTTTCCTGGCTGCCTGGTGGACACACTGGTGGGTGCGCTGCTCACAGTGGTCAAGGGCATGCCTGTGGGACAGCTAGCCTGAGCTGGCTGCCCAGCCCCCTGCCGCCTGGACTAGCTAGGTGACCTCTTGAAACCTCAGTGATCTCATCGGCAACCCGGGCATAAGACTGCCACTACCTCATCGAGTTGTCATGTGCTCACTTTGTGCTACTTAATCTTCACAGCATCCCTGAGAGGGGGCTGATAGCAATGTTGCCCTTTTACGGACGAGAAGGTTCAGCTAGGCAAGGTAAGGTTAATTATTGGCAGTCTGACTCTGAAGCTGCAGTTTTTGCCCATGGTACCATCCTGGTTACCCAGAAGGACTGGGCTGAAAATCACCCAGCTAATAATGAGCAGAACAAAAATGTTGAGTCCAGAGCCTAAATGTGATGATGCCCCTGAGGATGTTCCCTGGACTCTGGGACTGCACCAGGCCCTGGTGGATCGGGGCTGGTCATGGGCAGCCATGTCTGCCAGCCTCTGTAGAAAGGTCACAGTAGCATGTTTTCAGAGAGCAGAAGGGACTCAGTCATCAACCTGATGATGCCCAGAGAGGGTAGCAGAAGCGTCAGCAGTGATATGGATCATACGCTCAGACCCTCCCCGTGTCCATCTGTCCATAATGACTTCAGTGTGGTGATGGCTTTCCCCCTGCACTTGGCCCCCATCCCCCTCAGCCTGGCCGTAGTAAGAATGCAACGGTCTGCAACCAGTGCCCTGGCTGGGTGCTCCAGCCACTGCCCAACCATCTCACTCCCGCAGTCAGGCTTTTGTGAGCAGAAGCCCGGCTTCTCTGGAGCTGTTTCAGGGACGAACGTCACTGATTACACCACTGCCTCCTTCAGCGACAGAGTGATAGGGCATGAAAGAAAAAGAAATTGCCACCGATGTGCAGGGGGACATCCATTCCACCTCATCACATGTGGCAGTGTGCACCTGGTCTGTGGGGGTGCCACAGATGGCCTGCCCGCTGTGTGGCAGAAAGGGGCAGCAAGCTTGGAACCCAGCTGGGCTGCAGTGGGCTCTCAATGGGATCTTGGTGCCGGTCTCTCCCATGCAGAAGATACTTGATTTTCTAGTTGTACCATTGACTCTTTCAGGAGCCTGGGTTATTCAGCAGATTCAATCTCAATTGCAAATGCTGTTTCAGCGTAGGCGCACCATTGTGCTTGCCGGTGTCGGGCCATTTTTGCTGAGGCGTGCTTTTCCAGAAGGCTGTTACAAATTTAGAAAGAGGGAAATGGCGATTCATTCGCTGAGCAGAGTTTTGTTTTGCAGACTGAATTTCTTTTAATGTTTGTTTAAAGGTGCCAAAAACTGACATCCCTGGAGAGAGAATTGCTCAATTTTTTTGGAGCGGTTTTCTGGATTGTCCACACTACATCTAGAAAACAGTCTCTGTGGTCCTTATGTCAGAGGACAGGCTTGCCAACAATCTCACTGGCTCTAATCTTGATTCATTTTTCAGAGACCCAAGAAGCCGCCTCCTCCGTCAGCTCCTGTCATCAAACAAGGGGCAGGTAACGTACCTTTCAGTTCCGTCCACACAATGTGTATCTTTCTCTTTGCGTATATTCAGATCATCCCTGGGAGAGCGCAGGATTCCTGGATGGCCAAATTGGGGAATGATGGTTTGGTCTAAACAGACAACTTTTAAATATACTGCTGTCTTTCCTAAAAAATAAAATGTGTCCCTGATCCAGTCAAAATGTCTGGGTTCCCAAAGAGATTGGTCAGAAAGAGCTTTAAGATAAACTTTACAGTTAAACTGCCAAGGAGCCAAGGAGAACTTGACGGTCCTGTTTCGCGTGTGCCCCGCCCGTCCAGGGTTCCCTTGGGGAAGATGTCTTCCCCTGCTCATAGTGTCACTGGGCATGTCTAGAGTTGCTGAATTTTCAGTGTGCCTGGTGTGGTTAACCAAAATTTGCACTTACTTGACATTCCAAAAAAAATTTTTTTTTTCTACCAATGAATTGATTCTTTTTTAATCTTAATCCTCTGATTCTTTTTTAATCTTGAAAAGCATCCGGTTCATTTCTTTTCTGCATAGTTCAAGTATCAGGGTTGAATAATAGAGGTAGAACTGATATTGGGCATTTGGGTAACCCATTGAATACTCAATAAAGATGGTAATTCATGTTTCCTACTAGAATTCTCTTTGTAATTGTTAAAATTCATTGTGGAGAGAAGTTGCTCCATGAATAACTAGTTAAGTGGCACTGGAAAAAATTAGCAGCTAAAATAGAAGAAAAGTAAGGATATTTTCAGTTCTGTATATTCACAATTATGAAAAATCATGATGGCTTTATTTCATTTAAAGTGTGAATAAATTTCCAAATTGATTTGCTTATAGATTTAATAAGGAGTAATTTTTTTTTCCAATTCTTTTGGTCCACCAAGTTGGGGGGGAAAAACCAGTGTGACCCCAAATTGCTTTCCCATTTTCTTCCACATAGCTGAGAATTAGAGATTGAGCCATGAAACGGGATGTTAATTACATCTCTTGCTCCGCCCCCACCCTTGTTTGCATTGAGCAGTTTAATTTTGCCACCTGGTGGTTCTAGTAGTAGAAATACTTTATTGTGCTGAAATTGAAGCCGTGTTTATGTGCTTTTTTCTCAAGACCTTTTTTCCTAGAAGTCTTGGTAACCCATAAAAGACCGAGGAGGTGAGTCTAGTGGTCCAAGGCTCAAGTGGCCTACATTGTAACCCGGATTGGATTCTTTATGACGTTAGCACTGTCAGTTTCTGCTGTGTCTCTAGGCATCATACTGAACTTGTTTACTATCATTAGGAGTCTAGATTGTGTCATAGGAGGCAAATTCTTAGCCTTTCCAAACAATTTTACCGAAGCTTATGATGAGTCTCTGTGGGTCGGGCAAGGCAAGATGGCACCTGATCTTCCTAGGTTCCTGCTGCTGCTGCTCATTCATCCTGCAGGATGAGCTTGGGAGCTATTTGGTGAGGGATGGGAGAGATTCATGTTTTCCTTATCATCACCTTTCATTGTTTTTGATTATTTGATTTTTTCAGAAAAGCCACAACAGATGTGGAATTGACAAAAATCCCATAGAGAGTTTAATTGTAGTGAGTCATTAAGGGGACTTAGGTGAAGTGTGTGTCCCGGGCTCCCATCTTTGGGGCTATTCATGTAAAGAGTTTGCCAAAATGCTTCACCAACTCCATAAATAGGAGTAGTGTTCTGGATTTGTTTGGTGCTTTAACCATTTTCCAAGTGTTCTTACATCCCCAAGGCCACTGGCACTGATGAGGGCCCCAAACGAGGGAGCAGCTGCCATCTGCCTGGGTAAAGATGAAATGCTAATTGGCACACTTGGAAAATGTAACACTTGAGGGACTCAGATACAGACAGGAAGGACTTTGGGAGAACTACCGCATCTTCTCTGCACATTCTTCAACTTAAAAGTGAATTCCAGTTACTCTTGCTGCATAACAACTTGCTCCAACTTTAGTGGCATAAAGCAGCAACCAAGAATTCATGGATTCTGAGTCATGAATTTGAATGGGGCACAACAGGGATGGCTTGTCTCTGCCCCAAGAGCATGGGGACCTCAGCTGGGAGTGATGGATCACCTGAGGTTGGAGGATCTGCTTCTTTGCGCACATGCCAGGCACCTCTTGGCAAGGACAGCTGGAAGGTTAGGCTCAGCTGGGACTGTTGGGTGGAGTGCCTCCACCGGGCCTTTCCAGCATGGCAGCCACAGAATAGTTGGGCTTCTTACATGTTGGTCCAGTATTCCAGCAAACAGAGCACCAGTGACATGGCCTCGTGGCCTTTTATGAAATCACTTGTTGTCACTTTGGCCATTGGTTGAGGCTGTCACAAGGCCACCGAACTTCCAGGCAAGGGGATATAGACCTCATCTCTTAATGGGAGGGGTATCAGACAATTGCCCCTGGGTAGGCAGATGGTTAGCCCACTTGGCTGCTAAACGAAAGGTTGGAGGTTTCAAATCGACCCGGAGGAACCTTAGAAGAAAGGCCTACGATCTACTTCTGAAAACTAAGCCATTGAAAACCCCGTGGAGCACAGCTCTACTCATATGGGATAGCCGTGAGTCAGAAATGACTCCGTGGCAACTGAGTGGTTAGCAAACAACTGAAGGCCGTGTTTTAAAGCTACCACAAAATGGAATCCAGGTCCCTGTGCAATTCCTTTTTATTTGTAGAGCATGATATCGGTAACCCATCACTTGTATATGTTCGTGATTACTCATTTATTTATATGCTTTCCGCACCCAGTGATTTCATGTGATTATTTTGATGCCTAAGGAAGTCAAACTTAAATATCGGAAAGTATTAGTGGTTTTCTTCTAGATTAAGGATGTACAGGCAGTCACACTTAAAGACATAGGCTGGAAATGATTTCTTTGTTTCTGAGCAGCTCCTTTTTGCCAGAGAACAGCACTCAGCTCAGGGGAAAAAAAAAATCTGTTGACTATCTTGTTGTTCTTGCTGTTAGGTGCCATTAAATCAGTTCCAACTCATAGCAACCGTGTGAAGAACAAAACGAGACACTGCCTGGTCCTGCGCCAGTCTCACAGTCAGTGCCATATTTGAGCCCCCTATTGTAGCCACTGTGTCAGTACATCCCATTGAAGGTCTTCCTCTTTTTTGCTTAACCCCTGCTTTACCAAGCATGATGTCCTTCTCCAAGGACTGATCCCTCCTGATTACATGTCCAAAGTGCGTGAACTGAAGTCGCACTCCCCTCGCTTCTAAGGAGCATTCCAGCTGTACTCCTTCTAAGACAAATTTGTCTGTTCTTCTGGCAGTCCTAAGTACGTCCAGTATTCTTTGCCAATACCATAATTCAAATGCATCAATTCTTCTTTGATCTTCCTTATTCGTTGTCCAGCTTTTGCATGTATATGAGGCGACTGAAAATACCACGGCTTGGGTCAGGACCACCTTAGTCTTCAGAGTGAAATCTTTGCTCTTTAATACTTAAAGAGGTCTTTTGCAGCAGATTTGCCCAATGCGATATGTCATCTGATTTCTTGATGCTGCTTCCATGGGTGTTGATTGCGAATCCAAGTAAAATGAAATCTTTGACAACTTCAGTGTTTTCACCATTTATCGTCATGTTGTTTATTGGTCCAGTCGTGAGGAATTTTCTTTTCTTTATGTTGAGGTGTAATCCACACTGAAGGCTGTAGTCTTTGATCTTCATCAGTAAGCGCTTCAGGTCATCTTCACTTTCAGTAAGCAAGGTGTGTCATCTGCATATCACAGGCTGTTAATGAGTCTTCCTCCAATCCTGATGCCGCATTATTCTTCATGTAGTTCAGCTTCTCAGATTATTTGTTCAGCACACAGATTGAATAAATACGGTAAAATGATACCACCCTGACACAGATCACTCCTGATTTTAAACCACAGCATCCCCTTGTTCTATTCAAATAATTGCCTGTTGGTCTATGTAAACATTCTGCATGAATACAATTAAGTGTGAACCAGTTGTTACTATCTGTGGTGTTCAAGCTTGTGTGTCAACTTGGCTGGGCCTGGTTGAGTGGCTGGGCAGCTGGTGGTAGTATTCCCCATGATAAGACTGATAATCAACTCCATGGTGGAATCTGTGAGCAGCTGAGTAGCTGCCTTTGGGAATGTGGTCTGCTTCCTGTATATAAGGAGAAGCCTTGGGGAATGGTCTCAAGCTTATGGCATCCTTGGACCCTGCCTATAGCTATGTCACTGTTCAGCAGCCTGCCATGCTCTGCCGACCTTGGGACTTACAGTGGACTTGAAGTAATGGCCTGCTGTGTGTGTTGGTAACATCGGGACTGTGTCTTTTTATTATTTGTCAACCTTGGGTTTGTCAGCCTCAGCAGCTAGCAGCTAAGTGAAGAAAAGCCTCCAGCTTCAGTGGGCTGGGAGCAGGAGGCAGAGCTGGACACCAAGGTTGAGGGGCTTTCACCTAGCCCCTAGAGCCTGGCACTTTGAACTTGGACTTAAAGCCTCCAAATTGTAAGAATAAACTCCTGTTTG